TCCCCGGAGGTGAGGCACGGAGGGCGGGGCACCGGGGCCTGCGGAGCTCCCGCCCCTCCGTCGGACTGGGAGTCCCAGGCCCACTGCCCCAATCTGGGACCCAGCGCGACTTCTCGGGACCCAGTCCCCCTCCCATTCCGACCACGGAGCCCAAGCCCGGCGAGTCGGACTCAGGCTCAGCTTCTCTCACTGACCCCCTCTCCATTTCTTGCTCTCTGCCAGCTCTCAGAAGTCTCCCCTCTTCCCCCAGTGCCACTCCCAGAGTGGCGACCTCTGCAGGGAGTACGGGTGCCGCTGCTGGACTCACACACCTGTGAACGGCTCTACCATGTGGGCACCGGCGTGCCCCAGGCCGAACGCATAGTGCTGCCAGGGAACCTGTGTGCCGGGTTCCTCGAGGGCCGCAGGGACGCCTGCCAGGTGTGTTTTCCCCTGCCCCAAGCTGCAGAGTCCACGCACCTGTGCCTGGCACCCTACCTCACTAGAACCCTAGAATCCAAGAGATACACCTCCAGGTTCAGTGTCCCGGGCCCCATCCCAGAGGTACCACCCAGGGGTCTGGAGCTGGGAGAACCACTCCAGAGTCACGGGAGGGGGGTACTGCTCAGTGGTAGCGCATTTGACTGCAGAGTCGCGGGAGATCCGGGACCTAAGCTCATCTTCCTCCTGCAGGGTGACTCGGGGGGACCCCTGACCTGCGTGCAGTCTGGGCGCTGGGTCCTGGTGGGCGTGGTGAGCTGGGGCAAGGGTTGTGCCCTACCCAACCGTCCAGGGGTCTACACAAATGTGGCCACGTACAGTCCCTGGATCCGGGCTCGCCTCAGCCTCTAATGCTGGCAGGTGATGCTGACCTGGAGCTGGACGCTGGTCCCTCCGCCTCCTAGTTCATCCGGGGACCGGCACCCTCTATCCCTTCTGAAGTGAGGCTGAGATGCTAATAAAGTTAGGGGGCTACCTACTCACCGTCTGTCCATCCCCCTGTCTCCTCTCCTCCATGGGCTCAAATCTGACTCCACCAACCCCCATCCAGGGATGTTCCAGGCATCCCAGGGGATCACACTCCTTCCCTCCCTTTTTGACTTGTATTCCTGGCCAGTATGGGCACAGGACACCCAAAGGTGGGCAAACCAGCTGTTGCCCCATCTGGCCTGTGTGCTTCTCTTTTTCTGGAGGAAGTAAAAATAGAAGCATGAGAGGGATTAAGCATCAGGGAGATTTTCCATTGCTGACTTTGAAGACCGAGGGGCTGCGACCTGTGAGCCGAGGGCAGCCCCTCACTGCCAGCCAGCAGGGAGTGGAAACATCAGACCAACAGCTTCAAGGAACTGAATTCTGCCAACATTCTGAAGGGGCTAGGAAATGAATTCTTCCCCAGCTCCCAGATAAGGTCCCCACCTGGCCAATCCCTTGATGTCAACCGGATGGGACCCTAAGTGCAGAACCTAGCTGAGCCCCCTGGACTTCTGACCTACAGAGACGTGATGAAATAAATTTGTGTTGTGTTGAGCTGCTACATCTGTGGCAATCTGTTGCATGGCAACAAGAGCTAACGCAGACTTGGCCCCGCTGTGATGGAGGGGTCCCGGTGAGAAGGGTGGCCTAGCAGCATGGCTGCCCACCCATGTACTCCAAGAGGCTCCAGAGGCTGGGCACTGGCCTCGCCCTCTCTCCAGGCAGGGTCAGGGACTCCCAGGAAGGCCCAGCCATGGCTTGTCCTCATTCTCAGGGGAGCCTGGGGCCCCGCCCTCCAGCATACCTGATCTGGACGACCACCCGGCCTCTGTGCAGCTGCTTGCCTGCCCTTGTGTTCTCCTTCCAGCCTAAGGCCTGGCATCCTGTCCCTTCCCCACCTTCCGTGTCCTTGTCCCCAGACCTGGGACCACCCATTCCAATGTTTCCATACCCATTCAGCAGTTTCCACAGACACAGAAGGAACCAAAAACTCAACAAAACCTGAGACACTCAAACCTGCTCAGGAGCCGACAGGGGCAGTGGGTGGGGCGGAAAGGGAGTACAGGGGACACCTGAAGGGGCAGCCTGGAGGCCTGAGGCAGGCCCTGCCTCCCTCTCCTCTCTGCTCCCAGGGTGGCAGGTTGTACTAGCTGGTCACTGCTGGGCCGGGCTGGGGTGCGGACCCAGGGCTGCTCTGGCCCCAGGTTGAGAGCAGTCCACTGCAGCATAGCTTGGCCACCCCTGCTGGGGTCATTGGGGACCTGGGTGCCCAGAACTGGGCGTGGCCACGGCGGGCCAGCCTGTGAAAGGCTGTGGGCACAGCTAAGGACGGGCTTCCTAGACATGGGGGGGAGCAAAGCTGGGCGGGGCAGAGGAAGATCGATTAATGGGGAAAAATCATTACCCCTTGTCAGACTCATACCAGACCCCACAGACGGGTAGTCCTCACTGCTTCATCTCACTGAATTCCCACCCAAGGCTGTGAGGCAGGTTCCCCCCATTTGTTAGATGAGAAAACTGAGTTCCAAAGTCACACCGCTGGCAAGGTGGGAGACTGGGATTCCAATCCAGGTGGTCAGATTCTGGGAACAGTGTTGGGGGGGGGTGCCCTTTGCTCTCTCTACCCCACAGCAACAGGGCCACCTCCCTGCACCCTTCCTTTCAGCCGGCTCTGGTGTGGCTGCACATGGCACACGGGCAAGCCACAGCTCCTCTTGGCCCTGGGCTGCTGCCTTCCACCTGTCAGCAAGCCCGCCTGGGGGAGAGGTGCCTTGGACTACATTAACTGCATCCCACCCACCCCTTCCCTGCAGGCCTGACCTGCCAGGTGACAGGCTGGGAGGCCGTGCACCCAGGAGGGGAACACCTGGTGGGGACGGCAGAACAGGGAACTCCAGAGGGCACAGAACACTGGACTCCGGCTGGAAGGTAGGCACTTCCTAGCTGTCCACTGCTCCAGTGGCGACACAGTCAGACGTCCTAGTCTCTCACCCAAGTCCCTACTCAGTCTCTGCTTCTCCATCAGTAATCTCACTGATGACACCTTCCCTGTCGTGACTGTTGGGATAATCAAGAAGACAGCCAAAATGATCATTGTTCTGCCTGCTGAGCATATTTACTGTGCCGGAAGTGTGTGCGCTCTTAGTAGATTTCCCTCATCTCATCCACAGATGAGGAACAGGCAGGGGTTTGGCGACATGCCCAAAGACTCACAGCTGGTAAGTGGTGGAGCTGGACTTGAATCCCACACTCCTAACACATATGAAGATGTAAGCAGCTGTAAGACACTCTACAAATGAGAGGAACATTACTCATAGTGATCAATGACAATTACTCTTTATTAATCAATGCCAAAACAAGAGTAGACAAGAAGGGAAAGCCTGCCTGGCAGAGCCCCTGAGCCTGCTCTGAGGCCAGGGGTCCTTTCCTGCACAGGAAGCAAGTGGGCTGGCTACCCATTTGACAGCTCCCATTACTTCTGTCATGGCCTTAAGAAGGGAGGACAGGGACCCCACAAGACCACACTTCCAAGAGCAGGTGGGGACCTCAGGCTCGGCCAGTGAGTGGTCATGCTCCCCAAAACCTCCCAACCTCGTTCCCCCTGCAGGAAGTATCACTGCACTGAGTGACACCATGGCCTGCAGTCACCTCCCACAGTCACCAAGTGCACAGCATAATAGGGTGTGCAGAAACAAGGGGGCAAGAACTCACGCTGGGTGCCGGTGACCTCTGACAGCAGAGACAGACACCATTCCCTGCCTGAGCCCAGGCACTGTGCGAGTGCTTTACCGCCATCAGCGCATTTAGTGCCCCTAAAATGCCCTGCGGGCTCTATACCGTCTACGTCTTCTGTGGATGGGAACACTGAGGTAGAGACTCAGAGCCTTGCCCAAGGTATGAGCTGGGGTTTGAACCCAGGGAATTTGCTCTCTGGGGGACAGAAATGATCCTGGCAGGGATGATCAGGGGATCCTTGGTTGCTGGTGGGCATCCTGAGCTCGGGCGTCAGCTGTGACCGCCCCCAAAAGTCAGTGCTGGTCTCTGCCCAAGGAGCGGGATTCAAGAGGATATGGCAAGGAAATCATTGTGCGGAGGAGGCCCCTCCAGCTCCCACACCCCTCAACTTCATCTTCACCTGCCCCATCTGGGAGGCCTGCTGTTGGACAGGCTGTTACTGCCTCCAAGAACTTCTATGCCCACCGTCCACCCCCTACCTTACCCCCAGAACACGGGACCTACAGCTGCCAGCTCTGTGCATAAAGATCGAGAGTAACAGCCTGTCCAACAGCTCTTCCCACCAGTCACCCGTCCTCTGCCTCAAGACTCAAGTACTGAAGCAAAGGTTCATGAGGGGCTGGGACTGCTGAGGACCCTGGGAGCCAGCAGGCAGCCAGGGTTGCCCTGGGCTCAGGGATAGTGGCTGCACTGAAACGCAGTGAGGGAAGTCACAAGACGGGAAGAGACATCAGGGGGCTCCCAAGGGGATAAGTCAATAACTGCAAAGTAATAACTGCAGGCTGGGCGTGGTGGCTCACGCCTGTAATCCCAGCACTTTGGGAGGCAGAGGTGAGAGGACTGCCTGAGCCCAGGG